CATAGTGGTAGAGGTGCGCCTGAGTTGCACAGTGGGAGAGGGAGGGGGGAGGTGACTGCACAGGATAACTCGAGTGTTAAGGGAATACGTAATGTGAAAAGTGCAGCGAGTAAATCCCAGCGGCATAGGGGAAAGCCGCCCCTTCTATAATTTTCAGAAGTGTCACGCTTAATGTTAATGGACTTAAGACTGAGGTTAAGAAAGTTTGGTTGGAGTGGTTTTTACGGCGGTTTGATGTAGACATTTGCTTTTTGCAAGAGCATAATTATAGGGCTGGTTGTGTGTTGAGGTTAAAAGGATATCGGATGTATGTTACCAGTGGTTTGCAATTGAAAGGTGGGGTAGCAGTGGCGATAAAGGAGACCAGCCCCTTGCGTGTCATCGGATGGGAAGAGGGGGGGGTGGGAGGGTCGTGAGGGTGGATGGTGTATGGGGTGAGAGTCGAGCAAGTTTTGTAGGAGTTTACATGCCAGCAACTAGTAATATCAGGGTAAAAGTAGATTTTGTCAGGGAGGTACTGATGTATCACTTGAGAGGTTTGCCTGCTATAACAGTAATTGGAGGTGATTGGAATTGTGTGATTCGGAGTGGTGATGTCGAACCGAGGGGGGGCGGATTGTGTGTTGAGTGTTCTGAGGGATGTATTGCGAGATATTGGGGTTGTTGATGTGGTGGGGAGGGGGGGGATACCTAGTGGAGCACACGTTCGTCCGTAGGGGATATGAAGCACGATTGGACAGAATCTATATTAAGCAGGGAATAGACGTTGTGAGGGTGCAAACCCTTGATGTGGGGTTTTCTGATCACAGGGCGGTAATAGCAGATTTGATGTGGGATGGAGTGGTGCGTATTTATTCTGGGTACTGGAAATTAAATGTAAGGTTTCTTAAGGAGGAGAGGGAGGGGCCATTTTTCAGTAATTGGTGGTTGCATTTTTGGGAGGCTAGGGACAGGGAGATAGATCTGTTAGATTGGTGGGAAATGCAGGCCAAACCTGGAATAGCGAATTTTTTTAAGGTAAGGGGACGAGAAGAGGCAAGGTGGCGTTTTGGGTTGCAAAATTATCTGGAGGGACAGTTGCAAGACTGTTATGTTGGGTGAAGTGGTAGGAGGGATGATATGGACAGTCTGCGGAGTAGAATAGATGAATTACACAATGATAGGTTTGATGCAATTAGGGTTAGAGCGGGGTTAGAGGACGTATTGTGGGGTGATAAGCCGTCCGGGTTTGTTTTACGTAAATTCGGGACCGACAGAGAGAAAACCACCATTCTACAATTGGAGACAAGCCCTGGGGTGGGAGGGTATCCAGAGGGTCAGGTCCTATCCAACACGGAAAGTATGAGTCTCTATGCTGATAGTTGGTTTAGGGAGAAATGGAGTTGGAGGTAGGGGGGCTCCTGGGAGGGTATTTTTGAAGGGGGGTTCCATAGTGTTTTAAGTGAGAAGGATAGAGTGGAATTAGAGGTTGGTATAAGTGAGGTTGAGGTGGAAGAGGCAGTTTTCGGGATGAGTACGGGGAAAACACCGGGAATAGACGGTATACCAAATGATTTTTACAGAGCACATTGGGGGTGTATTAGGCAGTGTTTTGTTAGGGTATTGGATCATATGTTAACTAGTGGGAAGTTGGGCACATCGCAAAGTACGGGTGTTATAGTTTTGGTGCCAAAGCTGAGGGGGGGGGGAAGAGAGTTGAGTGCTTACCGAGCAATATCTCTGATGTGCGCAGATTACAAGATTTTTGCTAAAATTTTGGGTAACAGATTGAAGAAGGTCATGGGGTCGGTGATACATGGGGGACAATTTGGTATCCCTGGGAGGAATATGCGGGTAGGTCATGGATGTATTCGGGATTTCCTTGAGGGTAGAAGTAAGGGAGGTATTCTAGGTCTGGATTGGGAGAAAGCTTATGATTATGTGGATAGGGAATTTTTGTTTGAGAGTGGTGAGAATGGGTTTTGGAGGGAGGGTGGTTAGATGGGTGAGGACATTGTATGCGGATGCATCAATGAGAGTACAGGTAAATGGAAGGTTGGGTAGTCCTGTAAGCATGGGGAGGGGTTTAAGGCAGGGGTGTCCACTCTCCCAAATTCTCTTTGCGTGCATGCAGAATCCTTTCTATGTTCTGGTTGATGGTGGGATGGGAAGAATGGGGGAGAATGGAGGCTTTTTTGGGAATATTGTTGGTTATGTAGATGATACAACTGTTTTACTTAATGAGATAGAAGACTTAAGTAAAGTGGGAAGGGTAATTGAGATTTTTGGGAATGCTACTGGGATGAGAGTTAATAAACAGAAATCACGGTTGCTGGAGTTAGGAGCTTGGGTAGGCGGGACATTGGGGAAGGAGTTTGGCTGGATAACTGTAGAAAGGCTAAAGATTTGTGGGATTTTGTATTTGGCAGATGTACAGGAGAGCAGAAGGGTTAATTCAGAAATGGTAATGGACAGAGCTTTGAGTAGGTTCCGGAGTTTAAGGGCCGGGGATGTAACCTTGCATCAAGGGTTGTGGTGGTAATACGCTGATTTATAGTAAGGTGTGGGAGTGGCGGAAATTTATCCCTTACGAAGTCAGGAAATTATGGAATTACAAAGAAGAGTCTTGAGGTATGTGTGGGGTTTTGGGAGGGCGTGGTTGGGCAAAGATGTGGTAATGACTGCGGTAAGACAGGGAGGATTGGGATGTTGGCATTAGGATCTAGGGTGAAGGCACTGTATGTGAAGCAGAGGTATATTCGGGCAGGGGGGGAAAGGGGTCTTCGGGTGGGGGAGGTGATGGGGGATATCCGCAAATGGTGGGGTGGCAAGGACTTAGTCGAGTGTGAGGATATGTTGAGGTTTATGTTAAAGGTACGAAATGTTAAAAAACTCAAGGTAAAACGGTTGGTGGGTGTGGGTCGTCGTAAGGAATCAATGCAAGGGATGGCAGTGTATCCCACATATGATTGGCGAGTGATATGGGTGGAATTTAGTAAATTAAGAATACAGGCAAGAGCGAGGGAATTAGTATATAGATTTCTTATGGGGACGTTAGCATCGAAAGAGGTGCTAAGACAAATGGGTTTTGTGAGAGAGGCGTCATGCGGTTTTTGTGGGGAAGTTGAAACGGCTTTTCATGTGGTATATTTTTGTTCTGAATTGGAGGTGGTAAGGTTGTGGTTGAAGAGGGTTTTCTTGTTATTGGGGGGGGACAGATATCACCCCTTAGGGCTTTAATGTTAGATATAGGAGGGGTGCCCAAAGAGGTGGGAAGGGCCATTAGATACGTAATAGTTGATTACTTGTATATTTCTTTGGGGATGAGGGAGGTGGAGGGAAATATTAGAATAAAGGCGTTAACGGCGTGTTTTTATAGGACAGCGTGTAGGAATAAACTTTTATATGGGGGAAGGTGGGTAACTAGTTTTCCGGAGGGATATCGTGAACTAACCGTTGAACGTCTACTCCGTTTGGCGACGGGGTGAGGGGTAAGGGGTTGGTCTCTTCAGTGGTGTGTCCTCTTGGAGTGATTGGAAGCCTGATGAGGAAGGTAGATTGGTTGGCAAGGTAGTTGATGTGGGTAAAGTTTATTTGCAGGGAGCCGTCGGGGGCACCGGGGTATTAGACCTTATGATTTTGTAAAATCACAGAGTCAACAGTTGTATGTGACCTTCTGTTTTCCTTTTTTGTTATCAGAACCATTTTGCATAGGGGGTTTATATTTATATGTAGATGTGAGGATATGTTTTATACTTTTGAATATGTTGATCGAGTTATCCTTGTCATACGTATCTTTTTATATCATATTGAAGGTGTACATTATGAACTATGTACGAAAATATATAAGTATTTTTCTGGGGTTTATATATACCCGTCATTTTGTATGAAAGGTCATATTAATAAATTGAGTTTAATTTGGTAACATTAACTTTGTGCGTGTGTGTGTGTGTAGGTGTGTTTGTGTGTGTGTGTGTGTGTGTGTGTGTGTGTGTGTGTGTGTGTGTGTGTGTGTGTGTGTGTGTGTGTGTTGTGTGTGTGTAGGTGTGTTTGTGAGAACCAATGTCTTAGGTATAGTTCTCTTATTGAATGTAATATATTTTTATTTTATTTGGTGACTAGTCATTTAGCGTTATATTTCTATGTATAATCCAGTTTGTTCTGTCCGAACGCGTGCACACACACGTATGTGTGTGTATACATGTGTATATGTATACATATATATATGATTGTAGGACTTATTTCATACATGTTTTTTAATATCTCCGACTGATTTTTTGGAAGTCGGTATGTTTCTTCTCTTTTTTTTTCATAAACTGGGTGGGGTTATTTTCAGTAGAATTTTGTTATATTTAAGTGTTTAAAATGTATTTTGTGTGTACCAGACATTGTCTGCCACTTCTGTTATGGATGTTACATATTTAGTTTAGGTCCAGTTTATTTAGTGATAAGTCTTTTTGCGTATTTCTTTCTAGTATAATCTAGTCTGTTCGGGAAGAACGCATGGTTACATACATGTAGGTGTATATGTGCATGTGTATGTACATACATATAGACATGATTATAGGATTTATTCCTACATGTTTTATAATGACTCCGACGTTCTGTTTTGTAGTTGGTATGTTTTACTACGGCAGAATTTCGCTATATCAATATGTTAAAATGTTTTTTGTTTGTTTTGTGTGTGTACTGACATTGTCTGCCACGGTTTTTTGATTTGCTATAAATAACAAAGTGGAAAATAAATGCATATTGTAGGCTTGGTGCATCTTTGTTAATAATAATAACAATGCATATTGTAATGTAGTAATGTAGCCGAAAAAATTCGGTCTTAATTACGTGTTTTGGGGGCGTGTCATACTCCGTGCCCCGCGCGGCCAGCTTCCCGTTCTTTAGTTCCAACCAATCACAAGCCTTCCCTGAGTCTCTTCAGCTAAGTACAGTTCGCTTCTGCCGCCTTCCCATTGGTTGAGAGATCAAAATATAAACACTGGTGGCTTGGCTCCGCCCACACGCGCATTTTTCCCTCCACCCTTACTAATCTACTCTTGGATTATACATTCTACAATGTCGGTAAGTACTGATTGTTGTGTTTAGTGCTTACATGAATAGTTTAGGCATATTTTGATATATACCTAAAGTCCGTGTGAAGCATAATATGAGTGTAGCATGCAGTTGAAAAAAGTGCAAGCATTTTAGTCCGAATTATTTCCGGGAATGTCCAATTTTAGTCAAATAAATATTTATAAAAAATTTTCAATTGCATATATGAACTCTGTAGTTGTCTGGATTTATACAGGAGGTTTCTATTGTCCTTCCAGTTCCATGAGAGGCTGTTTTATGGGGAGCAGTCGACCAGCAGGTCGAGGTATGTCTGCGTTTCTGAAGACAGTGACTCGGAACCAGAGGTAGACGAACCAGAATTGCTGGATAGTGGTGATGAATACTTGCCACCGGATGCACAGGATGCAGAGATGTCAAGTGATGATGAGGAGGAAGAAAGGGAAGAAAGGCCAGCCAAAAAGCAGAAAGTAATGAGGAAAAAGAAAACTTTTAGGATTGAGGAATACCCGGATGAGGAAGAGATCCATGAGAATATTGCTCTTCAAGTTTCATCTCAATGACAACACAAAAAAGGATAATGACAGATTCTTCAAAGTAAGGCCTCTTTACACTGAACTAACTAATGCTTGCTTGAAAATTCCAGCTACACCCAAGCAATCTATTGATGAAGTCATGGTTGGTTTCAAGGGTAAAACTGCTGGAAACCTAAGGCAGTACATCAAAACAAAACCAGATAAGTGGGGTTTCAAACTTTTTTGTCGTGCAAGTCAAGATGGACTCATACATGATATACTCATGTATCAAGGCACAACAACTTTTGACACACATCCCATACAGCTGCCACAGGAAGAATCTAAACTTCCAATAAGTACAAAGATTGTTCTGGTACTTGCACAAACTATGAACAAGACCAACACATCAGCAATCTATGCTGACAATTTCTTTTCAAGTATACCTTTGGTCAAGCTACTAAGAGATAAGTATAACTGCAGATACACTGGAACAGTACGTGACAATAGATGTGGTAAGCCAGATCTGGCGCCTATCAAACAAATGGAAAGGAACACTGTGGTCAGGGCAACTTTTGCTTCAACAACAATGATGGTGTCCTTGTTGTAAGATGGAAGGACACCAAAGTTGTGACTTTAGTGACAACTGATATTGGGGTCGAGCCTCTGAGTCTTGTTGACAGATATAACAGGGTTACAAAGAGGAAAGACCAAATATCGTGCCCTGCAGTCATCAAGAACTATAATGCAAACATGGGAGGTATTGACAAAAGCAACATGTTGGTGCATCTCTACAAAACACCAATGAAATCAAAACGTTGGTACATGCGGCTATTTGCCTATATTCTTGATCTTGCTGTTGTGAATGCATGGCTGCTTTATTGCCGTGATTCTCGAGCAATAAAGCAAAAGTGTATGCAACTGAAGTATTTCAGGAATTGTATCTCTGAAATTGCAAGGTCTAAAGGACAAAACCTTAGAGGCAGCATCCTAAGAACAACTCCAAGACCTTCACCAACTAATTCACCATGTACTTCCAATGGTGTTGGCATAGTGAAACCTGGGAGGGGAAAACGTACAGAAATGCCTGATGACAGTGTTAGGAAAGACCTTAGTCTAATGCACTTCCCAATGGCAGGGCAAAGGCCGTTTACTTGCAAGTATTGCAGCAACACGAAGAAAACGGTAACATCGTCATTCGTGTGTAGTGTATGCAAAGTAAATCTGTGCATAAAGACTGATAGAAATTGTTTCTCAGACTTCCATCTTGCCATTTAGCAATATAGAATCATTGGTCTTCCAAATGAATCTCAGGAATATAGGGATTGAAACTTGCATCACTTTGCAATTTGGCATTGTTGATATTTGCTTCCTTTTTATATTTTTGTAACAATTAAAAAATGTTTTGATACAAGTTCCATTTATGTTTTTTATATTGTCTGTTTGTATATTAAATTTAAAAAATTGTTTTGGTGTGTTTTATTAACAATTGCAAGTTTGCAACATAAATTTTTTTAATCCCTTTGTCGGGCGCAGCCGAATATTTTCGGTCTTCAGAGATTAGCAATTGCTCGAAAACTAACCATCAGAAATCAATTTATATGGGATCAGTGACCTTGTATTGAGTTACTCTATCCACCATAGGGAGTTCAGTTCGAATTTCAAATTTTCGGACCCCTTGCGCAATGAAGGGTTAACATAGGTGCATGGGATATAATGCATAGAGGATGAGGGACAGTTTGTGTCAGCTCAAAGTTAAATGTCTGTATGCTTTTGACAATGAAATTGATAATTCTGTGTCAGAACTGATACTGTGTTCTTTTATCTATTTAATATATTGTATTGTTTTAAATAAAATATAAAAAAAAGATTCCCCCTCCAAAATGCCCAACCAGCACACACAACATACATGTAACTAAAAACAGCCCACACCTGTACATACAGGTGGGTTTATTATATCCATAAAATACAGCAATATAATCCAAAGAATGTCACACTTTACATTATATATTAAACTTTATAAACAAAGACATTCTCATATAATTCAATTCGTTGCACACTCATTAGTATTGTATATTAAAATTACTACACAAAGACAATACTAAACACCTCAAAAATTACAATATAATAAAGGTGACAAAATAGCCATTTCCACACCTTACCACAGAGAAACTAAACACACTATTAAAATAACAAAGATACACACTCATGTTACATAGCACATTAGGTAACACAAGAATATACAAATTCTTCGTTACCTTAATTAAAAACCTCTTATATACATTATAAACAGAGAGAAACTATTCATCAATAATATGCCTTAGTATTTGATTTTATGTCAATAAAACCTTTGTAAAGACATTATACATAAACAAGTGCATATATAACAAAATATCCAAAAACGAACGATATGTAATGAAACTGGTAGTCAATTTACTGGACTACTGCAAAGATACAAAAATATTCAGTACATTACACAAAGGGTTCCACTTAATAGCATGAGATAATTATGAATTGCCAAACAAGTAACATTATGCAACATACACACACCACATTCTTATCACATATACACACACACATGAGAGATTATGTACACATAATACAAAATTGTTACCCTCATATCTGGTCATATTCCAAACATGTATCCCAGAACGTTACCAGGTATCATCCACATGGCTAATACAAGGAAAGTATAAAATGAAAAACTATATATATAAGTTGCACAAGGTGCTTTTACATAACACCTGTCATGCATTTCTTGAGTTTGCTTCACAAGAGACCCACTCTCTTAACCCACGTCAATTTAAGAACAAAAATTAGTATCCAAGCAATAGTATATATATTTGTTTGAATAAAACATCATCCAAACTAACGATCATACCTATTATTTATACATTATACCACACCCATACCAATCGTATGCCTCTTCACTCACACATATTCAAGAAGCCAGCCTCGTGTACCCTTTAAGCCAGTTTAAGGTATTAACTCCCATAAATCCCTGACCTTGAATCTGCAATATCCCTTTGAAAATAAGAAAAACCATTTGTTTCCCGTAATGTCTTTATTTCTCTGCTGTGTACCATAAAATATCGCTACCAGTGCTCTGATTCTCTCCCTCACAGATAAATGCCTATATACCCATGACGTATATACAAAATCCGTCACTAAATATCCGACTGCATTCTGTACCGGTGTTTCGACCCCCCCCCCCACATCTAAACTTAAAGCTCTTAAGACACTAAACCCACCCCCACCCACCATTCTTAAAACCCTACCAAACCACAACCTTACGTATTCCAATCTCTTACAGAAATAAACTGCATGAAAGACCGTATCAGGATCTCCACACACACAACACAGCCCCCCCCCTCCTGCACGCGCCTATTTGCTAAAACTTCCCCGGACGGCAGTATATTATGTAAAAATTTAAACATTATCTCCCTGACCTTGGCTCGTAACCGTAATGCTTTTAAACAACCCCATATGTCCTTCCATGCATACATTGGATATATTCCCTCCACCTTAGCCACTACCTCCCTGCCCTCTACCAGTGCCAATTTGCCGATCTTGATCTTGCGTGGATCTTTTACATAAATTAACATCCTCAACATGTCCTCACATCTCTTTACATCCGTGCCGGTCAACCAACGTACCAAGTCCCGTCTTATCCAGGTCAAACCCGTGCCGGCCATTCTACCCTCTCTCAAGTAGCTATGCTTGACATACATGCCTAACATTCTATTATGCAGATTCATTAGCCCCAGGTCACCCCGGCTAACCGAAGAGACACCACATCCCTCGTTAACCAATCACAACCTGAACCCCAAATATATCTATATACACGCGTTAACATACGCTTTTCATCATATGGATGTAACGGATAAATACATGCCACATGCCACAACTTACTGAACAAAATCACATTCACCACAATTGCGCGCTGATGTATAGACAAGCCACCTTCCCTCAAACCTGTTAAACGACCTAAAACCCTCTCTACAGCCTCACTTGAATTCACCTTCCTCGCATCCTGTATGTTATCCCTATGCACAATCCCACACACCTTAATTTGATTTACTAAAGGCCAGCCTTCCCTCTGGCCTAATACCACACCCGCACAATCTCCCACCCCCATAAGCATTGATTTTTCCTTATTAACCGTCATTCCGGTTGCTTTCCCGAAACATTCCACCAATTCACTCACTTTTCCTAAAACCTTGGCTCCACGAAATAAAACCGTAGTGTCGTCCACGTAACCTATAATTCCTGATTGTACCCCCACCCGTCCTTGCTTGTCATCCTGTCGTACAATCCCCCGCACGGCTCTAAAAAACGGGTCCTGAATCAACGCAAAAAGAATTTGTGATACAGGACACCCCTGCCGCAATCCCCTATGCATCCTAACAACTTTTCCCAACCTACCATTTACCTGTACCCTAAACATAGCCTGCTCGTACAAAACCTGTGCCCAACTAACAATTTCCTTTCCGAAACCTTGCCACTGCATAAACTTCCATAATGCATCTTCGAGGTGAGGTGGATGGCTTAAGGAGTAGGATTGAAGGTTTACATAATGAAAGGTTTAACGCGATTAGAGTTAGGGCAGGATTAGAGGAGGTGTTAAAGGGTGATCGACCATCAGGTTATGTCCTGAGAAAATTTAGGGAACGGCAGATGGTGACTACCATAGCGCATCTAGTGGTCACTGATGGGGGGGGGGTTATGTGGTGGGTCAAGGTCTTACCGATACAGATGATATTAGTGTTTATGCTGATTATTGGTTTAGGGAGAAATGGAGGAGGAACAAGGAAGTTGTCAGTGAGGAGGTATTTGGGGTTATGCAGAATACTATTGTATTGGGACAAGAGGAACGGGAAATGCTGGAGGGTAGTATTAGTGAGGAGGAGGTGGGGGAGGCGGTTTACGGGATGAGTCAGGGTAAGACGCCGGGCATTGATGGAATACCGAATGATTTTTATAGAGTTTATTGGGAATGCATTAGGTATGGGTTAGTGGAAGTCTTGAATCATATGTGGAGCAGTGGGAGGATGGGGAAGACACAGAAAACAGGGATCGTTGTGT